AAAAAGGATATAGCCCAAAATGTGAAAACAAGAAAATACCTCTGTGTAATCCATTTATTTCAACCAAGTAACTGTAATCTAATTACCACTCACTTAAACAGTAACTGTAACTGAATACAGTTACTCATAATTTGTACTCTGATTACGTAACGTCAATACATGTAATCTGTTACTCCCCAACACTGCTAATAATCCATGAGAATGCTGGTTTCATCAAGTCATCAGATGGGACTCCTAAATTGAATCTTTATTTGCAAATTTGGTACGAGCTTCTCTGTGCACACTCGTACGCATCAACTTTTCCCTACCCACTTTTCTTGTTTGTTCAGCTTCTGTCATGCTCTGGGTGAGTGACAGCCTGTATCAACCCATAAAAATCAATAAGAACAAGTCTAAAAAGTAACAGATACTACATCTTAATTAGCTTGAATTAATTCTCAGTGAAAAGAGTCTATTCAAGGTGCACTGTGTAACGTTTCCATCCAATGCTTTTTTCCCGTGGAGATGATTTTTTCAGTTATTGCTTTGTCTGGAATGTTTCACAGTATGGCATTAAACTGTTCTATCTTCATGGAGACTAAACCAGACAAAGTTACAGGTCAGATCTGTGGAGAGGCAACCGTGCTCACAGTCAGAATGAAAGTTTTTCTAGGTATTTTTGAGCTATAAAACCACCTGTAAATGAATAAATGTAAAGTAGAGCTGTTTAATGTCACACTGTGGAACATTCCAGGCAGAGAAATGACATATCCTTTGAAACAAGCAGGTGACGGACCCTCAAACAGTGGCAATCTTGAGTTTGTATATATATAAGTATGTATATATTTTTATATTTATTGTCTGGTTTTTCCCATTGTTCATGAGACACGTACATCTTTATTTGAATTATGGGGGATTGGAAACTTGTCTTATTAGTTCAGTCGCTGACTGGATAACCAGAGCTGAAAGTAGTTTTATTTTTTTGCTAGTACAGTTACATTTTTGTTCACATTCATTACATATGATTATGATTATGTTCAAATCAGGGTCAAGCTCACTAGTCCATTCTAATGTGGGATGCTTTGACAGTTAAAATAGATTTGACAATCAGATACTATTTTGACGGTGTTTTCGTGTTTAAAAGTAAACTACTCTCATTTAAAGTCATATTGAGAGAAATCAAATTGCTCTGAGGCCTCAGCCATCAGTGTTGGGAGTATAAAAGTAACAAATTATTGTAATGCATTGCTTTTTGCTGTAATGCAGTAATGCAGCATTACAGGGAAAAAATTTTAATATTTTTTTCAGTACAAATGTCAGTAACGCACGTTACAATACTTTTTTTTAACCTGGATTGAAGTAGTGTTTTTTTTTTTCATACATTTGCTAAAATCACTGTGATATCAGCAGTGGTGAAATGCTGGAGATGCGAAAAACATTCAAAAGTTTTGCCAGGTGAGAGTAGCGCAACGTCACCTCCCACCCCCCCTACGGTGTCCTGGTTTTGACAAACGCAAATATGGTCACACTAGTCTAGACCTGGTTTAGATCTGGGTCAGTTCTGGTTAAGTCCTGGTTCAGTTCTGGTTCAGTCCATATATGGCGCTAAAGTTCAGCATCTTCACAGTTATTGTGGCAAGAGTAACTTAGAAGTAATGCAATAGTCATGTAATGTCTTACATTTTAAATGCAGTAATATTGTAATGTATCGAATTACTTTGAAATGACAGTAACAAGTTATAAATAACTCATTACAGTTTTAAAGTAACTTGCCTAACAATGTCGGCCATTAGTAGCACTGAGGGTAATTGGTTGGGCCCCTCCAAGTTCAGAAGCCCTACTACTTTTGCCTAACGGCAGCGCTGCCTCTGCCCCACCCAAAAAGTTACATAGTGCACCTGTAAAAACGATTCAAGCTTAACTCCTAATCCCCCTAACCCTAGCTCCTAACATGAACCCTTTAAGTCAGAATAGGTTCAATAAAATTCTCTACTAAGACTAATAAATGTGTAGTTATTATAAAGTAGTACTTAAGTATTTTGAGTAAAGCCAACAAAACAAACTAAAAGATAAAGAGATAGAATTATGATTTAAACTAAACTTGACATTTTTAAGTAGGTCTTTAACAGTTCTTTTGAAACTCGGTGATCCTCGATGAAGGCAGAGGAGTGTACACAAGTATATTTAGAGCAGTGTGGGCCTGCATCACTCCCATTCACAACATGTTTCTCAACTACAACACCAACCAACCCTGGTGAAACTCTAACATCATCATTACCTACGTTTGGAGCCTCCACTGAGTGTAAGAAATCAACAAATATGTGTTCTAAGTTTTATGTGAAAATGTTTTTTAATACAAAACTCGAACAGGCCTGAAGATTTTCCCTGGCCAGTATCTTAAAGTTGTGAAGGAGGGATGACTTCATTATAATTTTTTATTTATTTGAATTTTGAGTTTCAATAAATACTAATAAATACATTATATAAAAGAAACACAGCACCAGCTTGAGCCTAGAATCAAATTTACAAAAAAAAAAAAAAAAAAGAAGAAAAACGAAAAAAACATATAACAGTCTTGAGAATTTGTGATATTTTGTGTCAATATAAAAAATAAAATCTACGCAAAATAAAATAACTATAAGACACAGAACACCGGTGGGATTTAGTAACCTGTGTTTAATCTCGGTTTTCAAAAGAGAATTTTTTACAATCCTTCTAACAGTGACTCTTGTACAACAACATAAATACTGTGCTGGAAAAAAAAACAAATTTCCAAAAAAATTAAGCAGTTTTTTTTCTTTCTTTCTTCTTTTTCTTGTCTCTGGCTGCAGTCACTTTCTGTAAACATTGAAAAAATGTAAATCAAGTCTCCTCAGTTCTTGACAAGACAACATCAAAATATTGACCAGTGTTCCTCGAGCCGCACTATGCAAATGTTTGTGTGAAAAGCAGAAGTTTTCCAGAGGTTTTCCAGAGTCTCTCCGGAGTCCGCAGCAGTCAACAGTGCTCAGTGTTAGATCCACGATTAAGGGGGCGGGGCTATAGGGCCATTAAATATGACATCGCAAGTGACATCACAGCTACTTCGGGTCCAAACGGCTCCAGCTCCATAGACTTAAGTGTGTTTATTGATTTTTTTTTTTTAATGAATGTATTATTTGACATTTTTCTCAAACAGTGACAGTCAAAATATAAATGTAAAAACTACCAAAGTACGCAATATCCTGTTAAATATGATATATATGACAGTATTGCTTAGACTGAACTTTTACGACATTTTTAAAAGTCGACTTGTCGCATCAAATGACAAAAAAGAATAGGAAGAAAAGACAAAATAAAGAAAATTAATGGATTATGTATTATATAATTTGATGAAAAAAACTCTAGCTTGATTAACTGACGCATAATAACTGAGAAAGTAACGTAAGTAGTCGTCATTGTAATAGGACTGTCATAATATAGAAATGGCAGGAAAACTAAACGTGTTTTTGTGATAATCAAATAGTAATTACAGACACTACTACTTTATTTCATGGTGCAGTAAACAGAAAAATGTAATCCTGTGATGTTAGTGACACTGTAATTTGTGAACTATGGGGGTAATTTACATCTTAATCTTCAGGTGAATTCAAAACAAATCAAGGGTCAAACGTTTAAAAATAATTGTAGTAGTAGTAAGATTTTTAAGATTATTAAGATTTTTTTTTTCCCTCAAAGCTTTTTTTTTTTTTTCATGAAATTCCAGGTCTTGATTAGCCTGATTCATCAGCGGGTTTCACTTTGTGGAAACCGTCTGACCTCACAGCGTTAGGATCCGTTCGCTCGACGGAAAGCAGGTTCTGTTTTTATTTAACCAGTCGCTACTATTTGGTCGTGACATATGTAATGCGCCGCTTCTGCTACTACGATTTAAAAATAATCGTAGTAGTAGAAGTAGTAGTAGTAGTAGTAAGATATTAAGATTTTTTTCCCTCAAAGCTTTTTTTTTTCAGGAAATTCCAGGTCTTGATTAACCTGATTCATCAGACGGTTTCACTTTGTGGAAACCGTCTGACCTCGCAGCATTAAGATTTGTTCACTCAACGGTAGGTGGGTAGTTTTTTTATTTAACCAGTCTCTGCTATTTGGTGGGCTAACTGGTATATTAAGCTTTTCCCAAATCCCATAGGAAGAAGGGCAATAACGTCTTTCCCCTTGATAAAATTCACCAAACATTCTCTTTGTTCCGGCTTTAAATCCTCAATCTCGGGAATCGTTGCCAACACAGAATGTATGGCTCTTCGCTGATTGGCTGGAGCCTGAACACGCACTTCCGGGGTTTTTGCGGACCGTCTCTTGCATTCCGATTCCTGACCTAGTCACTGTAGAGCCTGGCTAGGTTTTGATAAATACAGTGCAAATAATATAATAATTCATGTGTAAAAATAAAAGTTGACCATAAGTGCATACCGTTGTGCCTTCAGGTTCACGTAACTGGTAACGCACCAAATTATACATTTTAAATAATATGAAATGATTTATATTTTCAAAAATATTAAAATATGAATATTACTGAAGGATTAAATCAGTTAAAATGTTATATTAGTCTATGGTGCTGTAAATGTGCTGGACCCAGAAGCCTTGACGTCATCACTTAAGTGCCCTATAGGGAGACGGGAGAGGCCATTTTTGGAACGGGAGAAAAACACTGCAAAAAAATGTAATCTTTAAGTTAAGATGACTTGAATTCAGAAGGTTTTATCATGATGTGAGTAGATTTCAGTTGACAAGTAAAATGATCTACCAATGGAACGAGACTTTTTGGATTTAAAATATGAAAATACATCTTGCTACACTTTGCACTTAAAACAAAAAATCTTGAATTGCTTGAATGAAAAAAAACATGCTTATTCCATTGGTAGATAAATTTACTTGTCAAGCTGAATCTGCTCAAATCAAGTCAAATGTTCTTAATTTAAGCCATTTTAACTTGCCTATCCATTTGTTTTTGCAGTGTAGGGGAGGGGTCGGGGGGAGTTCCATCAGAAGAGGCTGGTCAGAGTGGTCTGTGAGGGGCTCCGGCACTCGTGAACGTCCAGCCCGCCCGGCACAGAGCTGAGCACAGAGGTGACCGTGGGCATGGTGGGGTTGGTTAAGTCCGTGAGGGTGGTGGGGGTGCTGGAGGGGCTCATGGAGGCGTTGGAGATTTCGGAGGCGGGGCCGGAGGGGGTCCCGCCCGGCAGCGTCGACCCGTCCGACGCCTTGTCCACGCCGGTGCTCTCCTGGCGTAGCAGGTTTCGCCGGAACTTGGCCCGGGCATTCTGGAACCACACCTGGAAGAAACAAGAGTGGAACGGTAAATGATTGTAATTCAACAAGTTTGCATTTCCAACACCTAAAATGAAAATACTTCCTAATACTTCGAGCGTGTATTTTGTTTTAAAAAAAAAAGTGTAAATATATCAAAACACAAAAATATAAAACATACATTGTCAGTATTACAGAAACCAAAAGATTACATTGAGAACTGTCATAAAAACAAAGAAAAAGTAGTAGTAATAGTAGTAATAGTAGTAGTAGTAGTAGTAGTAGTAGTAGTAGTAGTAGTTGTAGTAGATTTAATGTGTGTAGTAGAAGCAAGAGAAGTAGTAATAGTAGTAGAAGTAGTGGTAGTAGCAGAAGTAGTAGTAGTAATAGTAGTAGCCACCATAGTAGTAGTAGTAGTAGATTTTATGTGTGTAGTACAAGTAGAGAAGTAGTAGTAGTAGTAGTAGTAGTGTGAATAGTAGTAGTAGTAGTAGTAGTAACAGCTATAGCAGTAGCAGTAGCAGTAGTAGTAGTAGTAGCAGAAGCAGCAGTAGCAGTAGCATTAGTAGTAGTAGCAGTAGTAATAGTAGTAATAGTAACAGCTATAGAAATAGCAGTAGCAGTAGTAGTAGTTGTCGTAGCAGCAGCAGCAGTAGCAGAAGCAGTAGCAGTAGTACTAGTAGTAGCAGTAGTAGTAGTAGTAATAGTAGTAGTGGTAGCAGTAGTAGTAGTAGCAGCAGTAGTAGTAGTAGTAGTAGTAGCAGAAGTAGTAAAAGTAGTAGTAGCAGTAGCAGCCATAACAGTAGCAGTAGTAGTAGTAGTAGTAGTAGTAAAAGTAGTAGTATTAGTAGCAGTAGCAGCCATAACAGTAGCAGTAGTAGTAGTAGTAGTAGTAGTAGTAAAAGTAGTAGTATTAGTAGTAGTAGTAGTAGCAGCCATAACAGTAGCAGTAGTAGTAGTAATAATAGTAGTAGTAAAAGTAGTAATGGTAGTAGTAGCAGCCATAACAGTAGCAGTAGTAGTAGTAGTAGTAGTAGTAGTAGTAAAAGTAGTAGTAGTCATAGTAATACTGACTGTAGGATTTTGTGTAATGTATTTATGATGAGAGACATATTTTAATATAATGGTGAACATGTCGTATAAACCCAAAAATTCATTCAGTAGTAGTAGCAGTAGTAGTAGTCGTCTTTGTAGTAATAATGGTAGTATAGTATAAGGTAAAAAAAATAAAAAATCCTCCTAGTGTAAATGAAATGTACCACTGTTTGAGATTTGTTACTATGTGAGAAACTCATTTGGAGTTGAATGATTCATTATAAACAGTGTGGTGAGTCTCCAACAAAATGAAAAACGGTCTCCCAAGATACTTCCTGTTAAAATGACTAGTTTGCATGACCATTTTTTATCATTGCGCTCTGACAGTAAAATAATACGTGAGAGTGGAGTGGGAGTCTTCTTTCAAAACTATTATTGTTGTCAGTTATGAGTCCAGGAAGAGCAGTGTTCATTCAGACACAGCCCACGAGCCAACACTACACAAGCTGGATAGCCAGATAGATAATAAACCGAATGTTAACGAAGGGCTAAGAACTGGATATAAACACAAAATATGAAGCTCTAATGTTGTAAAGTGTAATGTTATTCTTTGTATTTTGAACTTTGAATGGTCAACAAAATAATGAATTAACACTACTAAAATTTACAGTCATCTTGTCATCTTTTATATCCACAAACTTTGGTTCTTTTTAATGATAAAGTACCCTAAAATACCATAAAGGAGCACAATGTAACTTTTCTGATTGAGGGTTAGTTTAATTAGCTACTACCAAGTTGCTTCTCTCCAGCGACTAGGTTCAGGAATCTGAATACAATAAAAGGTTTGCGAGAACCCTGGAAGTTGTAGACTGTTCACCGGCCAATCAGGGAAGAGCTATGAAGCCATGACGTCAAACTCAAGTGCCTTTTGGGTCCCTTTTGTGGTACAGCGCAACAGTAAACAAAGCGGTCGAGGTGGATGTAGACGAAGACATACATTCTGTCCGAGATCGAGGATTTAAAGCCCCAACAAAGAGAATGTTTGGTGAATTGTATCAAGGGGAAAGATGTTATTGCCCTTCTTCCTACAGGATTTGCCGCATTACATACGTCACGACCAAATAGCAGTGATTGATTAAATAAAAAATGTACCCGTCTACCGTCGAACAAATGAATCCTAATGCTGCGAGGTCAGACGGTTTCCACAAAGTGAAACCAGCTGATGAATCAAGCTACACTTTAATGCCATACTGTGGAACATTCAAGGCAAGGCAATGGCATCTCCAAGGAGACAAGCAGATCCCCACCCTCAAGTAGCTGTCAGTCACCAAATACGTAGTCAGTGTTGGGGAGTAACGGATTACATGTACCGGCGTTACGTAATCAGAGTACAATGTATGAGTAACTGTATTCAGTTACAGTTATTGTTTCCATGAGTGGTAATTGGATTACAGTTACTTTGTTGAAATAAATGGATTACATGGCGGTATTTTCCCTGTTTTCACATTTTGGGCTAAACTAGGTCTAAACCAGGACTAAACAATATGACACCTCACAGTAGGGTGGACATAATTTAAAGCAACAGTGACCTCATATACAAATTATTTCTCTATAAATTATATTTTTTAATCTGGGTTAGGAAAGACTGGTCTTTTTTTTTTTTTTTTCTTCTCTTTTTTGTCATCTTTTATCAGATAAACATCTTCATCTTTGCTTCTCTACAGCAAACACGTGCCTGTTCACATCTTTAAAAAGCATGACAATATCAAGTAATCCAAAGTATTCAGATTATGTTACTCACTTTAAGCAATTTCATGGATTCCGTTACAAACTACATTTTTGGGATATGTAATCTGTAATCTGTAGGGGAATACATTTTAAAAGTAACCTTCCCAACACTGTACTTGTGTATAATGTGTAAAAACAATACCTGGAATATCTGGAGACTGGTAATAGAGAAACTAAAGAAAGGGGTTCAGAGTAGCAGAGTGGTTAGCCCGCTATAAGGTCTAAGTTAGAATCTTTGTCAGTCGACTTACTGCATTCGATATGTTAAAATTGTGTAACTAATGTTTCACTTGGCCAGTTGTCTAATACAGATTTTATTCACATTTGATGACTTGGTTTAGTCCAGTTCTAATCCTAGTTTAGTCCAGGTTTTATCCCAGGTTTAGTTTCACTTTTAGTTTCACTTTTATGTTTTGTGTTACTCCTGTCCAGCTCCTACAGATTGCTTAAAACATGAAGATGACCAGACAAAAATTGCATTTCTATGACAAAAAACCAAAACACATTTTTCCTTGTACTGTTCTATCATAATTTTCTATTTCTTTAAATTTTGTCTTAACTGAAACTTTATCTTGATTAAAATGTGATTCATTTCATTGCCCTGACTCATGGTTTCGATATTACATTTACAACAAATCTACACTATCTCTTATCAGCATTAGCGTTGTCACAATACTAAAATTTCAAACTCATTGAAAGCTATTCAGGTAAGGCTCATTTCTGTCCTTTGAATGTGACTTTTTTAGAATCACCGCTTTTGAAATCAGTATTTAGTTTCAATACTAGTTTCTTGGACCGTATCTTACTGTACTTTTCAACAAACCAACTTTCTAGTCCACAATCTTCAAAGAACCCTTATAGACGCCACCTATTGCCTCCTATCCGTATACGCTCCTATTAGTTTGGACTGAGCACACTCGCGAGCAGCAGCCAGTGTCTCTGTGTGTCCGTATGTGCGGAGTAAAAAAAAAAAAAAGAATAAAAGGCCACTTAAATACACAAAGCTGCCTTCTGCCGCGGACCAGAGTCACTTTCTAAAGCAGAGAACGCCACCGGTAGCTTCTGAGAGGTAGAGAATAGCTTTTATGTTTTGGTTTACAAAGCGGTGGCCTCCTGGTTATAATGGGGTTTCTTATCTCGGACGTGCATGGAGATATGGAGAGCTTGAAGATGCAGAAGGTAGAGGCAACGTAGAGGTGATGGCAACTATATATGGAGAAGTAACTTGGTGAACATATTGTGCTTCTCAGCAGATTCAAACTTTTTCCTTTTTTTATTTTTATTTTAAATGATACTGATGAAGGAAAGCAAAAATGGACAAAAAAAACCCCCCAAAACAACTCTCTCTACACACAAAACACAACTCAACAATACAAATGTTTATAATAAGTCAAGTCCAGTCATGTCAAAATGTCCAAAAAAGGTTTGCGTGATTCATCACTCGATTTCACTTTGTGGAAACCGTCTGACCTCGCAGCATTAGGATTTGTTCGCTCGACAGTAGACGGGTACTTTTTTTATTTAACCAATCGCTGCTATTTGGTCGTGACATATGTAACGCGCTACTAACGGGACTAACTGATATATTAAGCTTTTCCCAAATCCTTTAGGAAGAAGAACAATAACGTCTTTTCCCTTGATAAAATTCACCAAACATTCTCTTTGTTCCTTCTTTAAATCCTCGATCTCGGGAATCGTTGCCCACACAGAATGTCTGTCTTCGTCTACATCCATCTCGACCGTTTTGTTTACTGTTGTGCTGTTCCGCAAAAGGGACTCAGACAGGTGCTTGAGTTTTAGGTCATGGCTTCACAGCTCTTCTCTGATTGGCCGGTGCTCGGTCTACAACTTCTGGGGTTTTCGCAAACTGTCTAGTGTATTACGATTCCTGACCTAATCACTGGAGAGAAATGAAACTGAGCGGAGGCACTAGGTGGCACCGGTCCGACTAAAAAAAGGCATCCATGTCAGTTCATTATCGCAGATTCAAACTTGATACTAGTGTGCAAAAATATATGATTACTGATATATCGTGATACTATATTCGTGGGCTGCTGTATCGATATATTACCAAGAGTATTTTTTGGCAGTTGTTTGTGTGATTGGACTATAATTCTGTCGCTCTTGCTGTGGGAGATAATATGCTATATACTTGACATATTTTATCATGTCATTTCATGTCATTCTTTTACTATGGAACAGA